GAAAGTTACATGTGAAGAGATTTCCTGCAATAAAAAGGACTAAATAATTAATATAGAGTGGACATAAGTACAAAGAATATTTAGAATATATGAATATATACATATATATAATTTTTTTAAAAAAAAAAAATTGAGGGTGGCTAGATGATGGCGTCCCGGTCGCTTGGTGAAGCGTTGTATATAAGTGTGGGTTTTAAACATGCATTGTACTCTGCATTACGTACATGGAATTTTTGAACACAAAATCTCTGCTAAGTTAAAAGGTCACAATATTAGTGAATTTGTTGTTTGTAGCAGTTTGGAGTACACTGGATTAAACTCATACAAAGAGCATCTTACACAACAACATTGTTATAGAATATAGATATTGACCAATAGCATATTTTTTTTATTTAACGTTGGTGCAACGAAAGATAAAATGCACGTACAACAAATTATAGAATACGTAATTTACGGACTAAAAGGTGTATTGGGTGTGTTTGAAGGTGACTGAAAACTTCAGCTTTTGGGGGATTAAGAGGAAAAGAAGTCTGTCTGATATGCTTGAAGCCGAGCTTATTGGGCGGCAAACACAACTTTTATTAGGACTTATCTAAGAGCATCTCTAACTATAACTCAATTTTTTATTCAAATTTAAATTAACATTTGAGTAAAAAACTTGATTTAATATAAATGACTCTAATGGACAAATTCAAATTTAAAAAAGGAAATACCTAAATTTAAATGAGAGCAAACCCAAATTTAAAAAAGAGTAAAGATGACCATTGAATTTTTAAAAGACAGTCAAATTTCATAATTAAAGATTTGAGTTTCCCTTGATTTGAATAAAAAAATGAGTTTCCTTTGATTTAATATAAATTTGAGTCCAAGGTTGGAACAAGTTTTTTAGAATTTTTTACTCAAATTTAAATTTGAGTAAGGGTGGGAAATGCCCAAGTTTAAAAAAAAAGTCGATATTTTTGAAAATACTCTATGCGGTTCAATTTTTTTTTTAACCCTTATTTTTTTATTTAATTTTTTTTAAACCCTTATTTATTTATTTCATTTTTTAAAATCTCTGTTTCGTACGCAAAAAAATTAGCTTTAAACGGACTCATAGTCTTTGTTGGAACATAAATCTGATACTACTTGTTGGTTTTGCACAGCGGATAATTAACAAAAATAATACTTGTTGGAAGATGGAAATTCAAAGATAGGAAAACAATAAAAATATGACACAAAGATATAACATGGTTCGATACAGCATACCTACTTGGTACATCGTATCTATATCCACAGACCAAAAATCTATATCGATATATTATTCACTGAAATCTGATCATCTGGTAACTGATTACATAATACTCAACTCTATTTATAGAGATAAAATACTGTCACCCAAACTTATTTAGATACAACTTGATCTTTGTGTTTTCTATCACATGTCTAATACACCAATTCATGGTATATTACAACTTTTCTAATATAATCATATTTCATATAGGATTCTTATATTGATTACTCAACAAACTCTCTTTCATAACAATAAGTAAGTATGAGTCAAATTCCAACAGTCTTGATAAACTTTTTATATGCTTCCTTAAAACCGAAGTCTTCTGTAATTGTAACCAATTTTTGCTTTCATGATTATTATGGACATCTTTTATTTAATTTTTTTCAGACAACATAATTTACTATTAATTGAAAAAAATATAAAAAAAAATAGTATCACGTTTTTATTACATAAAAAGCAAAAATATGGTGTCTAAAAAATATATATATTTTTTTTATAAAACAAAATAGACCCTAAAGAGAATAGTAGTCATCGATGTTAAAAGGACGGCTACACAAGGCATATGGTGCATTTAGTCATTTTAATCATAGCTGTGCCGTAAACCCCAATGGGTGATTGCAACAATTGGTGGTAGTCTCCAAAACAAATTCTCTCTCTCTCTCTCCAATGTTTTGGCTGTTTGTTTTGGTACGATGGGCCAATTAGTTCACAAAATGCCACAGACTACCCTATATAAACAACAACAAGAAGCTTAAAATTTGACAAAAATCTTAATTGGTAATACCCAAAGTGATTCTCCAACTTTATTATCTATTTATAGTATGTTTCAATTCTTTTAAAACGGACCCGTTTGGAGCTGGTTTGTTTGGGTGCGAAACACATGTTTGAAAAATAAAATGATAAAGTCAAAGTTAAAAAAAATTTTAGAACCGTTTAGAGTATTTTCGAAAGAGCCGATTTTTTTTTTTGAAAGTCCGTGAATAAGTCTCATTCTTCAGTTTATCTTTGATGTTAATAAAAATTGTTTTTGCCCAAAAACTTGAGAGAAAGGTTGTCTAATAAACTCGGGTTCAAACGGATCAATCTTCTTTTCATTTGAATTAAAAAAAAAACACTAAGGTTTTAAGCTAATTTCAAACAAACATAAAGTATAATTTCTGTGTAAATGTTTTCAAAACATGCTTTTGGCGTTTTCTGCTGAGAGCATGTTTTGAACTCACAATTCTACATTGAAAAGCATTAGACCACGCTTCTAGAATATAAATTAAAAATTAACATAAAAAGGTAATAAAATTATAAAATAACAATATTTTTTGGTAAAAAGAAATCACGATATATTTGTATCTATGCTTATGGATTGAGGGACTTAATTAATATTTACTCTTCAATGATTCGTCGAATAAACAAATCAAATTTAAATTACATTTATGAGACAAGCATAACTTTCCAAATAATTAGCCACATTCTTTTGAGTATTTGTTTATTGTTTTAAATATATTTGTGTTAGTAATATAATTGATCTTGAAAATCTCAGAATCGATCTCAACTTTTCACAATCGATTATGACATTTAAAAGTATAACTTACATCTCAAAACAAAATTATAATCTAACCTTACAAAATTATAATTTTAGTATAGTACTACAGACTGTAACGAAGCAATGCTACATGGACTCAAAAAGTAGACTTAAAAATTAGATTTGATAATCTCAACCATTGATTTCACTGTAGGTCCCAGTATTTATTGAGACCCACTACCTATTTAATGGTTGAAATTATCAAGTCTAATTTTTAAATTCATCTAGCATTCATCTTTTAGTAATTTTTATCACTATTGTGATATCAAAAAAATGTAAAAATAATTACCACAAAGTGGTAAAATATCCACAAATGTGATAAAAACACCCACAAATATGGTAAGTAACCAAAAAAAGTGATAAATTTTTTTATACTTAAGAAAAATGTTAAAAACAATTACCACAAATGTGATAAAAAATACTTACAAAAGTGATAAATATACTCATAAAAGTGGTAAATTAATCATATAAGAATTAAAGATGAGAAGAGAAGAAAAAAATGATGAGAAAAGAAAAAGAATTTTAAGAAGAAAGAAATATGAGTATTCAATAATACTCAAAGTCTAGTTAAATAAAGCTCTTACATGCATCCCTTTATATAAAGGAAACTAAAATTCTAAAATAAATAAATAATGACAAATAAACCATTAAAAGTTAAAAGAAATTATTTAAAAAATTAATATTAAAAGTATCCAAATTACTCTCATGATTAAATTAAAATATATATTCAATTCCTACACGATCCCCATCACCGAAATAAAATTTTAATCATTTTGCTTCACCAATGTTCAGCCCATGAAAATCCACAATAAAAAATAAAAATTGGGGCAACCGAAGACTTACTAAATTTGCCTAAATTACGATATTTTTTCTTCTATGATGTTTTGGTTTTAAAATTAAAATACATTTATAATCCTAGAAACATTATGCTATCTCACTTTGATTCTTTAATTTTGGCATATCTCTTTTTAACAATTGTTCTTATTTCTTTACTTTCACTAATTACTAAATTATTGAATAGAGAGTGATTGGAGTTAAAGAGTCATTACAAAAGACATACGTTATATTGCCAATAAAGAAAACCTTGGTATGATAAAGGGAAAAGATTAATCGAGATGCGTATAAATTAGTTCAAACACCTTTGAACATTGAATTCCCTCCAAAAAAAAGGTGAGACCCTAACCCGTATTGTTCAGCGAGGAAGAAGGGCCTTATAAATTGAGACATGAATACGAAAAGTCTAAGATATTCAAAAAAAAAAATATGGGCAATATATTGAAATTGATTGTGAACCGTAAATTTTGATTTATTTGATTTGGTATTAGTAGCTGAACCCTAAAAATATTGGTAAAATAAATAATAACTGGTATTAAGTTCAGTGACAGCATCTACATCTATGGAGTCCTACCCCATTAAGGACTGTTTAGAGATAAAGACGTCTATTTCTTCTCCATCCTTATCTTTAGACTTCCACTTTTGAAGTCTTAATCATCTCTACGAGGTCCAATAGCATTACTAGTGTTCAATACAAATAAATAATAGACTTCTTTCATACTTTTTTTGCTTAATTATTTTCTCACTCGTATTACTGAGGGATTCATTTATATAAATTAAATTAAATTTAAATTAAAAAAAATCTCAACCCAAAATAAATAGGGAGTGAGGGAAGGAGAGGTAACAAATGACTGTTCTGTTATTATGTTTTTTTTTTCTTCTTTTAATGGTTAGGAGAGTTTCAAGTCGGTTTATTTGTATTTTGATTAATTTTTTTTTCGATTCGATCAAAAGAAGATCATCCACGTCACAATTAAGATATTTATGAGGGACAAATTTCTCATAGTCTGATCTTAAAAAAAATTTTAAAATTCAAATTTAGAACGTTTAAATTTATAATTTTTTGATCTTATTATTTGAGATATTTTGAAATTATTATATATAGGTCGGTAGAAAGTAGCATAGAGAGAGAGAGAGAGTGAGAGAGAGAGAGATGGGGTTGAGTATGTTCAATCTGTTTGGGTTTCACTATATTTTCGTTTCCACTTAGCAAATGGCAAACGTCTTCTACACTTCTACTTCTACTCAAAGTAAAAGTTCGTTATTTACCATAAAGAAACTAATATAATATTAAAAAGCTAGTTTACCTCTCTCTCTCTCTCTCTCTCTCTCTCCACACTCACTTCTCACAAGTTCACAACAACCCCATTCCACAAATTCTCCCCATTAGAATTTGCTTCCCTCTCTCTCTCTCTCTCACACACAGAGTTCTCACAAGTTCACAACAACCCCATTCCACAAACTCTCCCCACTATAATTTGCTTCCCTCTCTCTCCCAAAGTTGTGTGCTTGCAGTTTCTGGGTCTTCCAAAACTCACAAGCACCATCGACCCGCATGGCGGATGCAACAAAGTATGCACCCATTAATGGTGGAACCCTGATCTCAGACTTGAAGACCCAATTATCTCTCCTCAAAATAAAGACAAGGGTTGCTTTAGCTTATGGCTTCGTGTTTGCTTTCATTGCCTTCTCTGTTATCTTAGCTTTTAGTCCTTCTACCAATTCTTCTTCACCATTGTTGGGAAACATCTTCTCTTGCTGTGGCAGTAGGATTAAGTCAATTTCATCTGAAAATCCTCATAGATCACAGTTTTCTTCAAATTCATCTGACTTATTTCCAAACTCTGCACAAGTCCAAAATTCTACTATTCAACCATCACAAACCAATTTTGAAAGATCTCCAAATAACACATCTCAACCACCCAAATCGACAACAGAGCCAGAAATTGTCAAAAACCAGACTCACAGTGAAGAGTTACAGGATCCAGCTGAAGTTTTAAAGCCCAATCAGAGTACAATTGAGGCCCTAAAATCTCCAAATATAACTTTTCAATCACTCAATTTGAATCCAGAATCATCAACTGTTAAAAACCAGACTCAAGTTAAAGAGGCACATGACAGAGTTGACGAATTGAAGCCGAATGTGAGTACAATTGAGGCACCAAAATCGCCACCGGCAGCGAATGAAACTGCAAACTTGGCATCAGGGCCTTCTTCTAGAGGAAAAAATGCTACTGGGAAGAGAGAGAAAAGAATAGCAGAGAAGGGTGATGTGCCAAATTCTATTTCATCTGTTTTGAGAAACCAGAGCAATGGGACTAATTCGGGTGTGCCTGTGAAACAGGGGAGTGAGAGTTTGGTGGAGTCTTTGATGAATTGTAATCTATTTGATGGGAATTGGGTAAGAGATGAATCTTACCCATTGTATGAACCGGGTTCATGTTCACTGATTGATCAGCAATTCAACTGTATTCGAAACGGTAGACCTGACAAAGATTATCAGAAACTCAAATGGAAGCCTAAGGGATGCACTCTACCAAGGTAAAGTGGCAAATTGCAGCATTTTTGTATGTTCTTGGTGAATGTCTCTATACTGGTTTTGTTTCAGTTTTTTGTTTGTTCATACATAACTTGAGATGGGCTCTGCTCTGGTCTGTTCTGTATTACAAAAATATTTTGTTCATTCTAAGTGCCCTGAGCTTTGATTATTATTAATATGTTTATTTAAAATGAAGTTCTTGATTGACCCATGATTTNCCCATTCCACAAATTCTCCCCATTAGAATTTGCTTCCCTCTCTCTCTCTCTCTCACACACAGAGTTCTCACAAGTTCACAACAACCCCATTCCACAAACTCTCCCCACTATAATTTGCTTCCCTCTCTCTCCCAAAGTTGTGTGCTTGCAGTTTCTGGGTCTTCCAAAACTCACAAGCACCATCGACCCGCATGGCGGATGCAACAAAGTATGCACCCATTAATGGTGGAACCCTGATCTCAGACTTGAAGACCCAATTATCTCTCCTCAAAATAAAGACAAGGGTTGCTTTAGCTTATGGCTTCGTGTTTGCTTTCATTGCCTTCTCTGTTATCTTAGCTTTTAGTCCTTCTACCAATTCTTCTTCACCATTGTTGGGAAACATCTTCTCTTGCTGTGGCAGTAGGATTAAGTCAATTTCATCTGAAAATCCTCATAGATCACAGTTTTCTTCAAATTCATCTGACTTATTTCCAAACTCTGCACAAGTCCAAAATTCTACTATTCAACCATCACAAACCAATTTTGAAAGATCTCCAAATAACACATCTCAACCACCCAAATCGACAACAGAGCCAGAAATTGTCAAAAACCAGACTCACAGTGAAGAGTTACAGGATCCAGCTGAAGTTTTAAAGCCCAATCAGAGTACAATTGAGGCCCTAAAATCTCCAAATATAACTTTTCAATCACTCAATTTGAATCCAGAATCATCAACTGTTAAAAACCAGACTCAAGTTAAAGAGGCACATGACAGAGTTGACGAATTGAAGCCGAATGTGAGTACAATTGAGGCACCAAAATCGCCACCGGCAGCGAATGAAACTGCAAACTTGGCATCAGGGCCTTCTTCTAGAGGAAAAAATGCTACTGGGAAGAGAGAGAAAAGAATAGCAGAGAAGGGTGATGTGCCAAATTCTATTTCATCTGTTTTGAGAAACCAGAGCAATGGGACTAATTCGGGTGTGCCTGTGAAACAGGGGAGTGAGAGTTTGGTGGAGTCTTTGATGAATTGTAATCTATTTGATGGGAATTGGGTAAGAGATGAATCTTACCCATTGTATGAACCGGGTTCATGTTCACTGATTGATCAGCAATTCAACTGTATTCGAAACGGTAGACCTGACAAAGATTATCAGAAACTCAAATGGAAGCCTAAGGGATGCACTCTACCAAGGTAAAGTGGCAAATTGCAGCATTTTTGTATGTTCTTGGTGAATGTCTCTATACTGGTTTTGTTTCAGTTTTTTGTTTGTTCATACATAACTTGAGATGGGCTCTGCTCTGGTCTGTTCTGTATTACAAAAATATTTTGTTCATTCTAAGTGCCCTGAGCTTTGATTATTATTAATATGTTTATTTAAAATGAAGTTCTTGATTGACCCATGATTTTCATCTATTTAGTTATGCTCTTCTGGGGTTCATAAGGACTGAAATTATAGTATTCTGTCTTCCTTTTAAGTGCTTGGATCATATTATAGTGAAATTGATACTCTTAAATTAGTGATCAGCTGAGTTAGTTCTAACTAATTTGGCCAATGAGTTTTTCTTCTGATGAAAAATTAATAGATTCATCAATTTAAGGTTCTAAGTTGTCTTATTGAAAAGAGTGTATAGCAAATGTAAGATATATTCATGTTTCTGGTTGGTTCTTGTTCTACAGAAATTCATATGAATCTATCAATTTAAGTTTGCAGAACGCAATGGAGGAATACGATTAAACTAGCCTATCCCAAATATTTGTGATAAGCTTCGTTGAGTTGAATTGAATATAGTTTTTTTCTCAGACATTGATGTCTATGACATTGCTACATGCAGATTGAATGGGAGTCATATGTTGGAAATATTGAGAGGGAAACGACTGGTTTTTGTTGGTGATTCCCTTAATAGGAATATGTGGGAGTCTCTGGTTTGCATTCTCAGAAACTCAGTAAAAGATCAAGGAAAAGTTTATGAGGCATTTGGCAGACACCATTTTCGTGGAGAGGCTTCTTATTCCTTTGTGTTTGAAGTAAGTTTATTATCCTCGGTTTCGTGTTGAAACATTGTCATTCTATACTTCTTATATGCTATTCTTTTCAAGAATTTGAATAATTTCTTGATTTACTGAAAATTTCTTTGTTTTGTGTCGGATGGAAATTGATGAATTTGCAGGATTATAATTGCACTGTGGAGTTCTTTGTATCGCCTTTTTTGGTTCGAGAATGGCAAATGCGAGACAAAAATGGAACAAAGAAAGAGACCCTTCGGCTAGATTTGATTGGGAGGTTGTCTGATCAGTATAAAAACGCTGGTTTCATTGTCTTCAACACAGGCCACTGGTGGACTCATGAGAAGACTTCCAAAGGGTAAATGCCATTATAGTGCTGAATATGTGCAATCAGTGCCAATACTCAAAAAAATAAAATTCTAATTTTGAAAAGCCACTGGTATTAACTGAACCAGTGTTGAAATGTTTCAGGGAGGACTATTATCAAGAAGGTAGCCATGTTTATAGTTCTCTAAATGTTCAAGAAGCGTTTCGGAAAGCTTTAACAACATGGGGGAGATGGGTTGATGCCAATATAAATCCAAATAAAACTTTTGTTTTCTTCAGGGGTTATTCAGACACACATTTCAGGTAATCACTAGAGTCCAGAACTATAATAGAATGCTGTTTATGTTCACTATAGTTTTTGCTGTCCCTCCTTTGCATTGCTTCTAGTCAATTATAACCATAAACATGAAGGAAATGACAACTGGAGGAGGACTATAATTCTTTTTCTTGAATCAATGTGCATCCAGTTCATTCGATATTGAAACTTTTAGGATCAACAACAAACTGAAGAGAAAAATTGCACTTCGACTCCTTAGATTATGCCCCCTCGTTGCACATTGGCCCCTAATCTATCCTCTTTCTTGCATTGCTCATTAACCTATTAGTTTGAGTTTCTCCTACGATAGGAGGATTTCATTTTTGCTCTAATTTGCTGCGGAAAATGAACAGAAGTTAACAAATGAGGAGATGTGAAATTAAAACCAATAATTTAAGGTGCAATATGAAGAAGTGTGCACTCTAAAATGAAGAGTATAATTCAGCGGGTTTAAGGGTAATTTGATTATATTGGACAAGAACTGCCGTATATTCTCATGTATGGATGATCCATTTTGTTATTTTCCTGGATATCAATAGGTTTTGTCACCATTGACATAACATATTGAACAAGAACTGTGGCGTATACCTATACATTGAGGATCGATTTTGTTGTTTTTCTCAATATTGTTTACATCACCATTGACATTCTGGTCCTTTGTTTTCTAATTCGTAAAACTGTTACTCATTGTCTTTCTACAGCGGTGGACAGTGGAATTCTGGTGGACAATGTAACGATGAAACCGAGCCGATAAGAAACGATACATATCTACGGAGATATCCATCAAAAATGAAAGTTTTGGAATCGGTGTTACAAGGGATGAGGACTCAAGTATCTTATCTGAACATAACCCGTTTGACCGATTTTCGAAAGGATGGGCATCCATCAATTTATAGGAAGCCACATATGTCCAAGGCAGAGAAACAATTGTTTTTAAGAGCCCAGGACTGCAGCCATTGGTGCCTTCCTGGTGTTCCTGATGCTTGGAATGAGCTTCTCTATGCTGAGCTTTTGATAAGACAAAACCAGAAACAGCAAGAACAGAAGAGACCATAGGCAAAAAGATATGTGCATTAGAGGTTTTTGCTTTAAGTTTTCTTTGTGAATATAGAACAAGCCGACCATCTGGAGAAGATCTGAGAAAAGAGGATTTTTATAGTAGCATGAGTTTAAATCATGAGAGACAGAGAGAATTGGAAGTCTCTATCACTAACCAACAAAGGGGTTTTTTTTTTTATTTTTAACTATTGTAAGCTTGAAGGGCTTGAGAATTGTAAATTGTTAATTATTTAGGATATTTTTTAGAAATAATATAATGAGTGGTAATTATTCTTTTCATGTTAATATTATAGCATATTTCTCTCCGATAATGAGTTTATTTATTCTTGGTTTATTGATATGTGGTCAAAAATAAAAGAGTTAATAGTACTTTTGATCCTTAAAGTATGCACATTTTGTCAGTTTGGTCCTTAATATATGAATTTTATTAATTTAGTCCTTAAAATATTTAATTCGAGTTTAAATGGTCCCCAACTAGATGATCCGTTAAATTCTTTGATGGAAGTAACCACATATCATTGTGACCAAAACGTAATTACTTCCGTTAAAAACTTAACAGACCGTCAGAGGAGGAGCCATTTAAACTTAAACTGAGTATTTTAATAATCAAATTGACAAAACGTTCATATTTTAGGGATTAGAAATGTTATTAACCCATAAATTAATATATGGTAGATTGCAGAATGGCATTTGCATTCAAAATAAAAACTTAGATTGTGTTTTTTTTTTCTTCTTGTCAACTTTTTCTTGGTGAAGTCCAAGTGGATGTTAATTGTAGGATTTGGAAGTACACACCTTAGGTTGATGATGCCACTAAATGTCTGTTGCTTTTGATGAACTCTTGTTTATTATTAGACTTTTAGCCCTTTTCTCCTCCTCCTCCTCCTCCTCATATGTGATGTTTGACCATTGACTCTTAATTTGTTGTTGGACCTAAATTTTTTGATGTTCTTTTCTCTTTCTCTTTTTCTTTTTATCTGTTGGTAATTGGCTCCATCCAAGGCTATCTTCTGAATAACGCGAAACCCATTTTCATCGCCTAGTAAAATTCAAACCATGACGTATGGTCAAATAATCGTAGGGGTGTGGCATTGGGGATCGTGGTGGTTCAATCACTAGAGCTAACCATCATGGCTTTGTAATAATAACTGTGCTGGGAAAAAAAATGGCATGGACACTTGAAAACGTCGCTTGAAACCATGAAAAAAGTGCCAAGTGATATATACTGTGATCTTGAGTAACAGTTTTCCTTTAATAGCAGCACTCTGCATTTTCGTTTTCTTCCCTTCCTTGGTCTGTATATGTTGGTTATGCAGTCAAGGATCCCAATCTCCCCATCTAATGGACCTGCTAATATTATTTAATTGGTTACCTGTGCCTCTTCCAACATAGAGGTCTGTGAGTTTTTTCTTGGCAAGACAAGGAATGATTTGGCATGCCCTTTTTATTGGAATAGACAGAGATGATGATAGAAGTCGATCGACAAAAAATCGAAATTGTCACATTATAACGGTCTAAAAATTCAGTATAGACGAAGTTAGATTCATTTATTCCTATATCTTTCAATCGGTCTTTAGCTTTAATGTCACAATTATTATTTTTTACTTTAGCTTAACAGTGACTTGTTTGGATATCATTGCAGTGGTGATTCATTTTTTATTTCATTATCACAGTGATCCATCATTGTATGCAAAAAAACTTTTATTGAACCTTAGTTATATTTACAGCATACAAGTGATGTAAAACTGGTTGGAGGTAATTAGTAATCTTAATCTTGGCCTACTAAGTTCAATAATTGCCAGGCAGTAGATAAATATCTAATTTTTACCCCAATTTTTAAAAGTTTCTGGTGGGATATTAGATTAAGTAGTTGGAGATGGTAAATGTATTAATATAAATAGTTGGAATAGAGTAGAGGTATGAATGTAAGTAGTTAGAGGATACATTAAATGAGGTACGTGAAAGATGGTAAAACCTTTGTTGAAGCCTTGTATAAAAAGTCTTCGTGTAATCGTTTGAATCATCCAAATTTTGAGAATCAATAATATTTTTAGAAATTGTCTTATTTTCTTTGTGGATTTAGAGTTTGTATTATTTATACGTGGAAATGGTGATTTCCTTGTGTTCTTTATTTATGGTTGCGTCAACAAGGTTATACAAGCTGGTATACTAAATCAAATGATTAATTAATTGACGTGTTTTGACTAAAAAGAGATCAATCTAGTGCGCAAGAGCAAGACTCTCCTCATGGAGAGATTTGGATGGAGTACTCACCCTCATACCCTAAATGCAGAGAAGTTGTTTGCGCAACTCAAACTCTTCATGGTCTACAAGCCCACCCTCAATTGGTGTGTGTAAGTGGAGAGTTAAAAAAGATAGATACACGTGTCTATGCTAAAGGTAATCGAAAGAGATGAATAGAATAAGTGGATGAAGTAGAAGAAACTCGAACAATTTATTAACAAAGGGACAAACTAGTTGGGCAAATGATAGGTGGATAAAGTAAAATTCTCTCACCCACTGTGACCCTTTGACACTTATGCCAACCCAAAACTGTCTCGACTGCGGTGATACCAGTGGTCGTTAATTGCGAACCATGTGTCCTGACATTAACTAGGTAGATGTAACGTTTCTCAAAATGCAGCTTATATGCGACCCTTGAGGAGAAGTATGACAATCGAAGCAAAAGGGGGCTCCAAAGGATAATGATCGCAACTGGTCATTGTGGGACCATGACCTCGAGAAGGATGCTCCCAACGCAATCCTACCCGGGATCCTCCCTACTCTCTTTGAACCCCTTCCCCAAGACCTTTGTCAAGGTTTCCAATAGAGGAAACCCACATAATTTTGATTCTCAAGCCACCAATCCACATGTTACATTATATCATATGTTGATTTGGTCCAATAATCCTAGTTATCTTAGAAGTCCCAGCGGATCCCAGTGGAAATGAACCATGCACTAGAAGGCCTATTCAAACAAATTAAATCTTCAAGACCCTGTCATAGGCCAAGATTGACAATCATGCTCGCTTGCTAACCGTTGCTCAGTTCTCTCTTGATGAAGGCCATATTGACCTGTCCCTAGGTAGGGATCCTTCCTCTTAGTTTAGTGGATCAATTAAGCGACGGTGTCCAGTAGATTGAGAATATCAATTCTAACGGCTGTGCAATCTCAAACTTGTGTCCTGTTTCCGCTATGGGGGAGGTGAGTCAAGCTAAAGCTACCTCCAAACCTCCGCAATGTCACTCTTGTCTATCCTTGCTACGACACTGGGTGCTATCACAGAACTGTGGTGCTTGCCACGACACTAGTTGCCATCGTGGCACTATTATCCGTACTCATTGTTGTTGGACCCTGTTTGACCATATTGCCATATATACTATCAACTCTCATCATTTATCCCTCTCATCAGTTCCTTTACAAAATTTTATTTTCATTGGAATCCAATGCTTTTTTGAATGGCGTTGTGCTTGGCAGCATTAGTGAGTAGTGACATTTTCAGTAGAAAATGTTGATTTCTCTCTCTATATGTACAATGACAAGCCTTTCTTAATTTCTTAATGGAGTTCTCTCCCTATGAACTTTCATGGCAGCTGGCAAACTCGAGCCTCTGGAGTTGTGCACAACTATTCCTTCTGCCTCCTGTATATGGACTCCATCATAGCATGGTCCCCAGATGTTGCACCACTTATTTAAGTAATAAATTACATGGCAGCCTCATTTTGCTGGTCCCTTTTTTCCTCTGACCCGTTTAAATTCGTGTTCGACCCGTTAATTTCTTATTCAATTCGACCCTTAATTTTATGTGTGGTTGACCAATTTCAAGGGAAATCCATGGTAAATAAGCATTCGAAAAGACACTGGACAGGCCTATGCAGCTTGCTCATACCTGGTGGGCCATCCATCCCCAAGTGGACAGCCAAAATCTCAAATGGACCGGACCACCAAACCCCATATGGAAAGATCTTTCCAAAAGCCCTAAGTTTGGTGGGTTTAAAACTTGGTAAATTTGGGGCCGATCCGTGGATTTATTTGGAGATAAGTCCATTGAGAAAATTTATTTGTTTGTAAGTTTGCTTTAAATTGTCCAAATCACCCTCAATAATTAACTAACAATTTTTAAATTTTAAGAGTTTAACTAACATTAAAATTCTCTCTTTCATATTTATCTATTTTTTTTTTTTTNTGCAATCTCAAACTTGTGTCCTGTTTCCGCTATGGGGGAGGTGAGTCAAGCTAAAGCTACCTCCAAACCTCCGCAATGTCACTCTTGTCTATCCTTGCTACGACACTGGGTGCTATCACAGAACTGTGGTGCTTGCCACGACACTAGTTGCCATCGTGGCACTATTATCCGTACTCATTGTTGTTGGACCCTGTTTGACCATATTGCCATATATACTATCAACTCTCATCATTTATCCCTCTCATCAGTTCCTTTACAAAATTTTATTTTCATTGGAATCCAATGCTTTTTTGAATGGCGTTGTGCTTGGCAGCATTAGTGAGTAGTGACATTTTCAGTAGAAAATGTTGATTTCTCTCTCTATATGTACAATGACAAGCCTTTCTTAATTTCTTAATGGAGTTCTCTCCCTATGAACTTTCATGGCAGCTGGCAAACTCGAGCCTCTGGAGTTGTGCACAACTATTCCTTCTGCCTCCTGTATATGGACTCCATCATAGCATGGTCCCCAGATGTTGCACCACTTATTTAAGTAATAAATTACATGGCAGCCTCATTTTGCTGGTCCCTTTTTTCCTCTGACCCGTTTAAATTCGTGTTCGACCCGTTAATTTCTTATTCAATTCGACCCTTAATTTTATGTGTGGTTGACCAATTTCAAGGGAAATCCATGGTAAATAAGCATTCGAAAAGACACTGGACAGGCCTATGCAGCTTGCTCATACCTGGTGGGCCATCCATCCCCAAGTGGACAGCCAAAATCTCAAATGGACCGGACCACCAAACCCCATATGGAAAGATCTTTCCAAAAGCCCTAAGTTTGGTGGGTTTAAAACTTGGTAAATTTGGGGCCGATCCGTGGATTTATTTGGAGATAAGTCCATTGAGAAAATTTATTTGTTTGTAAGTTTGCTTTAAATTGTCCAAATCACCCTCAATAATTAACTAACAATTTTTAAATTTTAAGAGTTTAACTAACATTAAAATTCTCTCTTTCATATTTATCTATTTTTTTTTTTTTGATAAATTCTTTCATATCTATCTATATCCATATATAGTAGCATTTAAACACCCCCAAAAAAAAACTAAAATTTAAAAATAAAAAATAGTATGAATATTAATATTTAAAAAATAACAATAGTATCATACTTAACAAAAATAACATTATGTGCAATAAAAAAAAATAATAACATTCAAAAATAAAAAAAAATACTAAAATTCAAACATAAAAAAAAAATAGTAACATTAAAAAACAACAAAAAAAAATAGTAGTATTTAAGCACAAAAAATACTAACATTTAACAAAAAAAATAATAATATTAAATATTAATATTTATAAAAAATAACTGTAATAACAAAATCAACAAAAATAATAACATGGGTAATAAAAAAAATCATAACATGGTCAACAAAATTATATTAACATGACAAATTAAAGAAAATTTGGGAGTCAAACAACATAGATAGCTTTGATGGATTCAAATAAAAAAATAGTAACATTTAAAAAAAATAAAAAAAAATAGTAACATTTTAAAAAAATAAAAATAAAAAACAATAACATGCTTCGCAAACTCTCAATTTCATCATCCAGTAGTGGTTCAAATCTCTCTCTCTCTCTCCCCCCCACCCCCGCCTTCCCTTTTTTCTCTCCTTTCTTAGTTGATAGAACTCTAGTAGGGATGTGGCTGAAGGTTTTACAGTCAGAAACTGAGTGCAATCTCTGTGAGGATGTAAATCATCAACCATGGGGTATGTTTATAGATTTGCTCACACCAAAAATATAAGACTACACATGTGATCAAACGAGAGAGAGAGAATATCAATTGTTGTTTGAATTTGAATTTTAAATTTATGTAAAAAAAATTATTAGCATATTTTCATTTACAGTGAATTAAAGGATAATAATTCTCAAATTAAAAAATTAAGCGTTAATTATACTGAAGGTCCCCAAAGTATGAGAGCTTGTCTCATTTTGATTTCTAATATTTCAATTGTATTATTTTGGTCCATGAAATATTAAATATGCTTCTATATGCTCCTTCAAGTAGATATCATTCAGATTGCTAATGATTTTTTATCATAAACTTGTTACATAATACTTAAATATTGATAAAAAAAAATAATTTTGATAGTGTTTAAACAAAATTTAGGTAGTTCTTGACAAAAATATGCGTAATATGAGTAGCTTTAAACCAAAATTTGAATAGTTCAGGATCAAAATTGTGTAATTTAGGTAGCTATTTAACTAAAATTTAAGTAAAAATTTAGTCAAGAGTTATACAAATTATTTTTTTGTCCATATTTAAGTGTCACATAACAAGTCTATAATAAAAAATTGTGAAATCTAGACGTTGTTTGTTTGAATGACCATATAAAAACATATTTAATATTTCATAGACAAAAATGGTGCGTTGAAATATTAGGGATCAAAATGAAACAAACTTTCATACTTTGGAAACCTCCAGTGCAATTAACCCAAAAATTAATTTAAAGTTACTTTTAAAGAAAAGTATTTTGAAGTTTTAAAAAAAAATATTAGATTTAATTACTTATTAATAAGATTAAAATATAACTTATCTCCAAAAGAGTTTTCTTAACAAACTAAACTCATTATAAGGCCTTAAAAGAGACACGGCCCTAATTTTACTTTAAAGTTTTAACATATTTTATATTTTAACCACAATAAATGTGTTTATTTTTATTCGATATTTTAATTATATTATGCAGTTTTTCCATTTTTACTCAACATTCTCAAAAAATTTTTTTGGGAAATAAGGTTTCTCTTCAATAATTTTTTTTTTTAATTTGCTTCTTAGCAGATCGTCAATCATACATATAAGTATAATCTACTGAGTACAACTTAATCCTTTACTTATTATTGATGAATGAGTTGTCAATAAGAGAAATTAAATGAAAATGTGTTGGAGGATATCTGGATCCAATTTTTGACAAAAATGATCCCACTTCAATATCAAAATTTCTGGCATCTAGGACCCATGTTCCCCTCATTTTTTTTTGGGTTCAACGGTAAGGGGTGTCTATATCAGTTTATGTGTATTTTGATTAATTTTTTTTAATTTAATTAAAAATAAATTATCTACGCCGAAACTAAAAAATTTATGAAAGATAAATCTCTCATAATCTGATCACAAAAACTTATCAAAATTTAAATTTAAAACATCTAAATCTACTATTTGCTTATATTACTACTTAAATTAGACTTTTTTCCCCTACTCGTGAAGCCCCTTGGACTTTTTTTTCCCCACTCATGAAGCATGCCTGGTCCTCCTCACGAAACATGCTCAATGGATGAGAACTTTAAGTCAATTTTTTTTGGGTACATAGAACTTAAGTCATTGGGTCTATGATCTAATCAATCACTCTACTAGATTGACCTTTATCTCAATATTTTTTTAGAACTCACCAATAATTCAATAATTATGATAACACAAATTAACAAATTAAATCTAAATATTTCTAATTAAAATTAATATCTTGCACGTCCTGTGGATTTTGTTGTTGTTTGTTAAATTCAACAGTCAAAAGTGTCTAAAACAATTTACGAACACTTCGACTAATCTACTCTAAATCATGTAAATCTTTGCCAATTAAGCTAAATGTCTCGTCACAAAAGAAAATTTTAAAGAAACAGGAATGAACCATATCATTAACCAGAAAACAGATTAAATACCCAGTCAAAGGGAAAAAAAAAAAACACAATCAGAAACCAAAACTTTTGCTCAAAATCTTTCTCATTCTCAGTCAAACTATTACCCTCCCAAATCTCCTCCCACTCTAAACTCCATCCTCAACAACCTCTCGGCACAAAAATATCACAACAGAATGAAATAATTTTCTTAAAAAAAAACTGAAATATTTACATATGCCAAGAAAATTTGCATTTAGTGTTTGGGCTAAGTACTCTTTGTTGTGGGTAAATATTCTTATGTTGGAAGTCTCATGAAGCAGTCTGTCGAGTGTGGACTTGAGCGTGTGAAAATGGATATAACATGGGTTTAGCAAGAGACAATGTTGTATTGGTTGTAGTGGCGGCAGCAGTGGCGGTGGCGGTGGCGGTGGCAGAAGAGGTGGTGGTGGAGGCTACGCGCTCACAAGAGGGACACATAGTGAGAGTGGTTGCAGGAAGCTGCATGTAGAAAGGTTTGGAAGCCTTCAAAGCTCTTAACTCTTGAATCTCCTTTTGCAACCTCCTATTCTCTTCTGTCAGTGTTTCAGAGCATCTCTTTAAATACTCACAATCTACCTCAGTCTGCTTCAACTTTGTCCTACAATTTTTTTAAGTGTCACCAAAATAATTGCTTTATTGAGCCAATCCACAAGCAAATATTCCGAAAATAAATGGTAATTTTTTGCTAATCTTACACTAATAAACACTCAACCAAGTTGAGTTTTAATGAATCGAATCTAAGCATATGATTTAATGTGCGAAGAGTAAAAGTCTAAACCCAATAACCGAGTTCAAGTTGAGCTCGAGCTTGCGATAGTCAATTCAACACGAGTTAAGCATAGCATACTAAAGCTCAGAAATTCAACTGGGTTAACACCTCTATGACCCTATTAACAAACATTTAATGTCCTAGAAACCCGAGAAATATACATTTATAGTGCAATAAAAGAATCTATGGTACAAGTATTTGAGACATTTATAATCATACCTTGCTCTTCTGTTTTGAAACCACACTTCTACTTGGCGAGGACGAAGATTCAACTGCTTTGCCAGAGCTTGCTTTTGTTTCTGCAAATTTGTATCAGAAAAAAAAAATTATTATGTAAGCATAGAAGTGTATATGTGGGTAGTTCTTCTCTCTCTCTCTCTCTCTCAAGCTTTGACTTACAGGATTGAGGGTGTTGTGTTCTTTGAAGCTTTCTTCAAGAAAAGCAGACTGTTCTTTAGTCAGCCTGAGCTTTTTCCTAGCCAAACCATTCTCTTCCTCATCACTTGCCCTTGAAGAACCACCTTTCTCTGCGTGATCAACTTCAGTATTAATAAACGTTGCCTCCAAATCTCTCTTGCTTCTTCCACTTCTAAAGACTGAAAAATCCATCTGAAATGACGACACCGTGCTGTTTGGGGACGACAGTGCCGCCCCATCATCGGTCTCCTCCGCCGCGAACGGTGGCCGGTGGTGGTTCACGTCTCGCCCTTTTCCGGATCCATTTGACGAAACCGGTTCAGATATCACTGTTAACAAGAAAACAAACACACCATAAATCAAACCAAACGATCAAACTGAGTATCAAGCAAAAGTCATCAAAAACAACCCAAATCCTTAGATTCAACATATACTTGGAAATAGGATTAAATAACCAGAAAATATCGAGAAAAATAATTGTTACATTCATCGGTTTTTACGAAAATCCTCAGAAAAAACCAAAAATGACCAACAGAAGCAACACTAACGAAAACCCAGATCTTAGAAACTTCTTTAAAATCTAAGAACAAGGAGGAAAAAAATTAGAACAAAAGAAACTAATTAAGGAAGATATCGTAAACTAAGTACGAGATGTACGACATCGAGTAGAGATCAACCGAGTGATCAAAATCAGGAAATCCAACCAAACCCATGTCAAAATATCTCTAAAAATATTGAGAAATTACAAAAAAAATTCAAGAAGAAAATCGGAAGAAATAAGTGTTTTGTTAAGGTAATGACATTACAGTTCTCTGTCAGCCATGGAAAGCGAAGCTGTGAAGGTGGTTGATTCCGTTGAACCGGAGAAAAAGGAAGTAGATCAAGCTGAACCGGTGGATCTGATGATCCTCTTCTCTCATCTTCCTCTCTCATCATACTTTTCCTCCTACTTTCACCCCCAACTCTCTCTCCTCCTCTCTCCTCTGATCTTCCATTAACCAGAGAACCTAAGCCCATGCAAAACCCTAAATCTTTACCAATACCAACCATCCTCTGAGATTTGTCTGCGAAAGTGAACGTCTTTGTTGTGTCACCCAAACTCAAAGCTAACTCCATGGCGAATTCAAAAGGGCACCACCAGAACGAAGAAGAGACTTCAAAATGACTAATGGGTTGGTGGAATAGAGAGGATCTGAGGATTTTAAAAGCATTACCTATCCATCTTTAAGACTATACTGTTTGGTATTAAACAGACACACCACCCTAAATAACTCCCTTTAAAGTTCACCTGCCTTTGTGCGAGTAAAGATTGACCACCAAATCCTTGTTGACAAACACACGTGAATCCATATAGATATACAACGGTTCATAACTCTGTGTGTGTGTGTGTGTGTGTGAGAGAGAGAGAGACAGAGAGTCATAGATTTCCAGCCAGAATAGTCTTACAGTCATTTGTCTTGAACAATGTTAGACCCACAAGGATACTAAATAAACTTAACTTTTAAGAGAAACATTAATAGTCAGGTTGATCTTTTTAATAATCAAAACGACCAAATCCAGAGATAATGGTTGGTAATGTTTTCAAAATGCCCTGCCAATGTGAACAAAACTCAATGATAACAATTTTATAATAATTTTGTGATGACTTTGTCAATTTGGTGAAATATATAGTACCAACATTAATTTAAGTTAATAATATCCACAAATTAGAGTTTTTTGAGATAAATTTTTTGTAGTGACGGTGTTTACCATCTCAAAAAAACATGTTTTGAAGATTTTTTTTTTTGCGATGATAGTGTTGTCATAAAAGATTTATGTGGTATCATAAATACTATTTCAGACGGGTTATTTGCTGCTATAATATTTTTTTGAGACTCCACTTATTGCGGCAAGGTATACTGTCACAATACCTTACCATAATAAGTGAAGTCTCAAAATATCTTTATAGCGGCACGACGTCTCAAATAGTATTTGTGGTAACAAATAAATATTTTATGACAAAATTATAGTTAATTTTTTTTTTGAAAACACGTTTTTGGGTGACGATGAACACTGTGGACACAAAAAAACTTACCTTAAAAGACCCTAATTCTTATAATAATGTTACTATTCTTGATTTTGTATACGACGAATGGAAATGTTACATATATTTTGTTCCTAGTGTCTATATGTTATGCATTAAAATCTTACTAGAGTATTAATCTGCACCCTCTCTCTCCAGATTTCTTTTTCGTATACCCTAGCAATCGAAGACTCTAATGATTAGGTCAAATTTTCTAATGTTTGGTGTAATATGACAATGCCGTTGTAACAACTGAAGTTGGGCCTTATCAAATACAACTATTGTTTATTTGCCTAAAAGAAGTGGGGCAAATAGTCAAAAAAGAATTTAATGTATTTACTTTACTCCTTAAAAAATAATAATTTAAATTATTTAATCTACGATGTCCGATCGACTCTTGATCTGTAATATCATTGAAGAAATATAAATTTCAATTTTTTTTTAATCGAGGTAGTCAAAATTTTGCACGTGTTAAATTTTGTGGGTATTTTTATTATTGTCATGATAATTATTTTTTTATTTTTCTTTTATATATAAAAAAAAGTGGTAAATGTGTATGTGACCATACAGATGCAAATATAGTAAATAGTAATGATTCGGTAAGAATCGTTGTTTCAATGATGCAAACTAAGGAACAAGACATCATGAAGCATGATTTGACGATGAATGATCAAACGACAAGAATCATTATGCTAAGGTTGATTTTTGAAGACTTTTTAAAACAAAACACTCAATGAAGATATAATCATTTTTCATTCACTTGGGGCATCTCTATAAGGGTCAAATTTTGTTGAAATTAAATTTTAATTTGTTTGTCTCTCTATCTAGGAGAAGACTACGATGCAGGAAAAATAAATTCAATACCGTTTCTCCAGATTTTATAATTTTATTGGATATTTTTATAAGTAATTTATAATTTTTGTGAGTGTTTTTATCACATTCGTGATACATAAATTTGACACTGTAGACTACTCCCTCTATGTACAGTTCTTTTTTTTTTTTCCTTCCCCATGAGTCCCTTTGTCTTATTTGAATAATGTTGTAAATACTATTTTGGACACGACCTAATTAGAACATTCACAATTCTTGGATAATAAACTTCATTAATCGAACAATTTACATTAAAAATGTATATAAAAGAGGTACACAACAGTGATGTGCAGCATGTTGCTCCCACTTAGAATTTTAATCGGACTCGTGATATCTTGTAACTAGTAATAAATTGAATTAGTGAAGCAAATAGTACTACTGTGATGGATTGATGCAAGAGATTTGGTGCATCCAATTTAGCTTAAAAGCAATACAAATCGTCCAAATGTAATTGGCTTCGGACATCGTAGTCTCTGTGAATCAAATACTGTTGAATGTCCAACTTGTCTTCAGTGGGATTCTAGTGACCGGGACTCGACCATCTCAAATCAGTAATTATGACTCAAACTGAACATTCTATAATAAATGAAAACTTCAAAATAACGTCCTAAAAATTACAATGTTTGATCGCTACTAACCACTCTTTCATCCAACAAAAAAAACTCAAACCTCATCCTCAAGGTCAAGGGAATGTCTATAAAGAAACCCAAACATGTAAAGAACGTCAAAACATAAATGGGAAGTCAATTAAGGAAAACTCATAGTAAATTAAACATGGTGAGAAAAGAGTAGTTAGCACTTAGCACACAACACTTTTCTTACTGCTATTTAAACCTTTGCTACTTCAACGAAGCAATTTTTACTTCTACACCAAAGCACAGTCTTTAGTAAAAACGAACAACTCGAAGTTAATGGTACAATTAGCTAACTTCATCAACTGCCCACTCTCCATTTTTTTTACATTTATATCCCCTTTTATAAAAGCATGTCACTTTTTACAACCACATAAGAATATTGGCTTAGTTTCTTCATATTGTTCACAGACAACACACTGGTATCTTCTTATCCTCTATCTCTCATTTTCGACGTCGTTCTGATATTTATCACTTTTATAAGTATTTTTATTATTATTGTGGAGCCAAAAAAAATAAAATAATAATAATCACAATAATAAACACTCATAAAAATAGTAAAAACACTTACCATAATAATGATAAAAATATCCACAAAAGTAATGAATAACTCACAAAAATAATAAATTTTTTTGCTATAAAAATACTCACAAAAATTAAAAAAATAACCATAAAAATAATAAATTTTAAAAATATGGTACAAAATTTTATTATTTGATACTGTAGTCAAATCCCAAGATATGAGATAGGTATTTAGGACGGTAGTGTACCGGTGCGACGGCCGGGAGAATAGTCTTCATCCCTATACCTATTTCAAAAATATTTGTCCAACCCCGCTAACAGAGGAAATTTTAATGCATGTCTTCGTCCTTGTCCCCATTCATAACAATTATTTTTTATGATTTAAATAAAAAATAAAAATAATAATAATAAAACCTCACAAATGGTTAAGCAAGAAGAATGAAATTCTATTATAAAACAAATAGATTAAAAAAAAGTAAAAAAAAAATTTGGTAAAAAGAAGAGTGAGTGGATGAGTTTCAATCCATATCCGTCTCCATAGCTGCATGCATTTGTATAAATATCCCCTTATACTTCCTTGGTTCAATATATATATATATATTCATTTTCAATTCGAACAAAATAAATTTGGATAAATATCCGTTGAGTCCACTGCCAAGGAGTATGCAAGGTTTTGCAAATTTTCTAGTCAAATGACGTAAATTGAAATGAAATGGCTCTGAACGACGGCTGGCTGGTCTGGTCTAGTCGCTGACTGGCCAACCAGCGATTACCAGTAAAGAATACCACCCCCAACTTGAATAATTTTCAAACAACCATTGGACTGGTCTTTACTCTTTAACCTAAGCATACACTTTTGGAACCAAACGTGATGTTTGAACACATAAAAATCCCAGAAAAGTTTGGTCGGATTAGCACGAGGTTTGACCACATTAAAAGTCCCACAACCCATCTGTTTTTACCCAAGGAGACAAATAGACCACATTTTACTATTCCAAGAAAAAGTATTTTTTTCCCCTAATGATTATAATCCTAATGATGTTTTGCCTTAAAATTAGATATATATGTTTAAAAAAAATTATTTAGACTTTATTTAAAAAATTAATCTAAAAATGTAATTCATTACAACCATTGAATTACAAGTAAGTTTTACCTATCATTTTATCATAATTTCCTTCAATTTCTCCCAATTATTGACTATCTCTCACATATTGACTAAACTATTTGAAATGGAATCAAATATTTGTCTTGTAAAATTAGGGTCTTAGTTTTTAAAAAATAATAACAAAAAATAGCTGGCCAAACAATTTTTCTCCTAAAAACTATTTCTAAAAATAAAAAAGTTGTTTATGAGATGCAAACTAAACATGACTTTGAATTTCGAATCCAATAAACCTAAAATTTGGCCTTAATATATATAAAGTTGAGTGGATTTCGAAGGACAACTTTGTATTTACTTGAACAATATATGACAATTAAAAAAATCTAGAAGTTATTTGAAGAAGAGTAATACTTCACGTACTTAGAGAAGTGACCAAAATGATGTGTTAAGTGATATACTTTTAATAAAAAAAATGCAATTTTATAGCAACAATCTTTTTTTTTTTTTGTAGTTCAATGGTTAGAAGTATTCGGATCAAAAACTCTTGACCGTTAAACCAATTAATCCCCTCTTTGATTCGATAAAAACATGTTATTCACGCCGAATTTAGGGTATTCATGAGAGATAAACTTCTTATAATTTAACCTGTCCCCGTGAAATTGTCAAAAATCGAACTTAAGATGTCTGAATTTACAGTTCATTCCTGTTATCACTTATACATACAATCTTTGTTATTGGATCATGTATACTATCACATATTTATGTTGGTTGGAATCCTATAGTTTGATAATTTTACAATTTTTTCATTTGTTGGTAGGTAACGATGAAAGATTTGGCTAATGTTATAAGATCCCCCAATTACCCCCCCTCCCCTAGAATGTATGGAAGTTCTCCCAAATACCCTACATTGTTGTAATATTTATCCTTTTAAGGAGGAATAAATAATAGGATCCAATTGGATTATCCATATAGTTGATGCCCACCACAAATTGTTCTTGACCGTTGCATTGACAATGAATTTTCA